ACCCGCGGCCGCACGCCGCCCGCACGCCGCGGCCGAGACCCGGCCCTGCGCGGCACAGCCCCCGGCCGGCTGCCCCCGACATCGGCCGTGCTCCTGCCAAGGGCCCGCGGCCGACGGCTGACCTTGGGCTGGCATCCAGGCGTCCGGCCCGCAGCGAGCGTGGGGCGGTGGAAAAGCAGCCTGGCAGCTGGGTTGGGATCTGGGGGAGCCAGGACCAGAGTCCCCCGGGAGCAGCACGGCAAACCTGCCTGGGGGCTGTGTGCAGCAGGGCGTGTGAGCTGCTTGCGGTGGCCGTGTGCTGGGGGCTGGGATGCTCCAGCCCCATGGCTTCCAGTTGGACACACAGCCCGGTGGGGGGACCAGACTTGCCAGCGCATGGCTCTGGCTTGCACCAGCACCTCTAGGCCAGCAGCCCCCTTCGTTCTGCTGCTGCCCCTGGGGCAGGGAAGGGGACCTGTGATTTACAGGGGTGACGTGTTTAACTTAAAACAAGTCAAACAAAAGCCCGGTTTGTTTTGCGGAGCACAGACTTCCTGGGGGGATCAGCCCAGACAAATGACTCCACTCCCATTTATTAAACATTTGTGGCCACACGATCAGCTGGTGCTGGGAACGGCTGGGACAATCTTATCCCCTTCCCAGCCCCTGCAGCAGGAGTGGTTTCTGACATCTGTGCCGGAGAAGAGCTGTGCCCCAGGGGTACCAGCTCCCCATTCCGGCATATTTCAGGTATCCAAGGACAGCGATATGATCCACACAGGCCGTAGCCTCTGGACTGTTTCCCTGCTGAGTCCTGCACGAGCATCCACACTGAGCACTGGCAGCAGGCTGGGGGCACATGTCCCTCGTGCCAGCGCTATAGTGAGGGCTGTGAGGGGGCTGTGTGGCACTGAAGGGGTGCAGGGTTGGAGGGGGCCTGCTCCTGGTGTGTTTGCCAAGGGGAGTGCAGGGGCAGCAGGGCAGGGCAGAGGTGCTGTTGCTGAAGGACAGCCTTGGAGGTAGGGCTACCTGCAATCTGTAATGATTAGGAAGCTGCTCCCAGAAGGGGTTTATTGCCAATAAAGCCAGCTCAGCACAACTGCTGGGGCATTAACCCTTATCTGCCTGGCGCGATAAGAGCCCTGGGCTTTGCCTTCTGGCCCCAAGAGAGCAAACACCCACCACAGGGCATGGTACAGACTGCACCATGCCCTGTCACCCTGGGGACACAGCCAACATCCTGTGTGGCTGGGACGCACCGCCCCAGCACATGCTCCCGACGTCCCTGGCCCCGGCTCCCCCCGCCTGCTGCCCTGCACACAGGGGTGAGCAGCAGGAGCCGCAGGGGTGAAGGCTCTGTACCCAAACTCCCAAGCGGTTCAGCTGTACAAAAGCAGCATCCTGCTTAATTAAAAGCAGACCTGCTGTAATGAGCCTGCCAGCACAACAGTGTGGCTCGGGCAGTGCTGCTAGAACAGAGGCTGGGATTCAGCCTCACTGCAGGACTGAGACATGAGGTGGCTCATGGGCTGTGAGCCGGGGCTCGGAGCCAGGGCTGGGTCACCCTGTGACTGCCTGCAGAGCCATGTCTCTCTCTGTGTCCTCCCAGCCCTGCTAAGGAGACACAGCCTGTCTGACCCAGCCCGCTGTTGCATAGCACCTCGACAAAACTCATCCCTAAAATTGCTCCTGGAGTGGGGCCTCTGCTGAGTTCTTGCCCCCAGGTGGAGTCACACACCATCCCTGGGTTGTTGGCTCCCATCACACCACCCAGCTGCGCTGGTACCAACAGCGATCGTGCCTGCCCTGCAAGGGGGACAGGAGGCTGTGCCAGGAGGAGGCTGCTCCCTACTCGGGGCTGGGATGGCACACAGTGCTCTGGATATGGGTGCACTGAGGTGACTCGCAAGAGCCTTTCCAATGGTGACCTTTTTTTTTTTTTTCTGTGGTTTTGTTAACTTTTTCTTGCTGCTGAGGAGGTCAGAAGCATTGAGGAATATACTTAATGCAGGTTCCTTGGGGTGCAAGCTGCAGGTTGTTCCAGGGAAATGGCTGGAGCTGCAGAACAGAAGCTGTGAACTGGCACCAATTTTTTGCCTAACAAAGGACATGGGGACCTGTGGCACAGCCCAGCAGGGAGGTGGCCGGTCACCCAGAGATTGTGCAGGACCCAAT